GCACACAAGAAAAGGCAGCTACAGTATATTTTCAAATCCTTCATCCATCAAAAACTAGGTTAGCATAGAATATCTGATCAACAGAGACTAGTCTTAATAATAGATGACAGCTGTAGTTAAAAAAATGCGATGCCATCAACTGAATACATCAAAGAGCAGCTATATGCTAAATAAGTAAAATCTAAGTGCAAACATAACAAAAATCTAATATTGGAAGGGCAATCATTTAAGCACTCAAGAGTCTAAAGTAGTAGGAATAAGATTTATATGAGGACCCGGACTGGGGGGGTGGGGGGCAAGTTGCTGACTCAATTTGCTAAAAAATTTGTAAACCGCTTAGAGAGGGCTGAAAGCCCTATGAAGCGGTATATAAGTCTAATAAATAATAAATATTACATTTTTTTAACTTCTCCATTCTTTTCCCTTACATTTTTGCTTTATCATTTTCTTTTCATGCTAGGATAACCAGAACACCATATTACAAACATGACTGTATCTTGCATTTCATTACGACACTTTTACTTGCAATCCCTTTCTTATTTTCTTTTTAAATCCAAGAAGTTAAATGTCACAGAAATGAATTTCGAAACAGCATGGCAGGAATGAGGACTGCTTTCCTATCATTTATCTTACTAACAGTTGCATTAACTCTTGAAACTGCAATTATAGCACTGCTGTAATTATCTGTACAGCAGAACCCATTATCACCATTTGGTGGAGAAACGTACTTACTAATTGTGTATCCCTTGTCATTTTAATAAGCGATACTGTCATGGGTCACATACTTTTGTAAGTCACCATTTCAAAGAAAGCAAATATTACACACATAGAATATAGACCTGTGAATTGAATAATATGGTTCATTTTATTGTGACAGTACCTTTGAAAAATCACCAACATTTTATTTCAAATGAAAGTAGGCCTCTGTCATACTGATTTAGTTATTTGTGCTAATATATATGCTTTCCTTTAAGATAAAATTTACAGGTAACTCATGCAGAAATCAGTATGTTCTTTCTTATATGTGTTTCAGGTAACTATGAATAAAATTTTGTGCAACATACAATAATGCCCAAAATTTAAAATTATAGTCTCATTTTTGCCCTTGTTTATACACAGCCACAGACAACTTTATAGTAATATTGAAACTACATTTAATAATCATTTAAATAGTGATTCACTGTTGTAACACCAAAGAATTTTATTGATTTTATTACTGTTTTTATTCTCTATTATCATTATTAACAATTGAACTTATGCTTGGTATACATTCATTATTACATTTTATATAGGAAAAAACAAAACTAGAGTAGAATTCAAGTAGTATAGCAGAACTTAAATAAAAGCCACAATTAACAGTGCTTAGTCCACCAGATCTTACCTAGTAAGTATACTTAGGCTATAGGCAACCATTAAAGCACTTCTATACTGTTGGCAAAAAATAAATAAAATCCATGGGTGTCAAACTCACAGCCCATGGGCCAGATGCATTATGTAATGACCACGCCCACTCAAAGTTTAGCAAAGGGGGGAAAAGTAATGATACATCATATCACATGACAACGGGACGCAATGTAACAAGTCGCTATGGTCAGCATATGTTGAGCTTAACTTAAAGTAGTACATTTTTCTAGCCTGTATCGATAAACATTTTTAATAAGGCCCTTGTTTAAGTCCTATCAGAATCATTTTAGAATCAGTGTTGACTAAAGTCCCTTAGTTTTTCTTGGCAAAATTTTGGAAGTGATTTACTATTGCTTCCTTTCTAGGGCTGAGAAAAAGCCCACAGATCACCCAGCTGCCTTTGTGTCTAAGGTGGGTCTAGAACTCAAGTCTCCCAGTTTCTAATTTAATTACAGCACCAAATGAGCATTGTCTCTCTCTGGTATCCCCTCACCCGAACTTACTGAAAAGTAGATAAGTTTACACCTGTGTAATTTTGAAGGATTCATGTAGAAAATAGTTATTTTTTACTCTCTAATATCAGACCTAAGCTATTGCTGCTAGAAAGTGGCATTTCTTAGTTAACATCATTAGGTTAGATATTGACCCGCACCTTTTCTGGAAAGGCATTCTCCTGAATGGAGAAACAGAATAGAGATATTAAGAAATAAAGTGATATTCAAGGAAATCAACTGACTTTAAAAGTTTGCCTCAGGGTGACCTCAAATGCAGAGTATGATGAGAAGCAGCCAGTTCTGGCTCCAGTACAAGTCACTAAGAGTACTGTAGCAGCTGCAATATGTTGGCTTTTAGGGATTCATCCCCAAGCTATTAAATAAAAAATAAATATTTGTTACATTCTTACAGATATTGTTTGTTTCATGGAACCTATGAGGGATTCAGTGCGTTATTTTAGGATGCAGTGAAGTGTTTCTCTGCTTCCTTCTCTCTTAATAATCACAGTGGTTTTTGAATTGAATCTCTATGTTTTGGGTTGTTTCTTTAAATTAGAATTAGAAAATATTTGAATAATAGATTCCTTTTACAGTACTGTACAAATTCTGGAGCATTTTAAACTAATAAAAATAAGTACTTTCTAACTCTCTAGAAGAAAACCACATTTCCTATTTAGTCTTTTCAGAGTGCAGTCTGAAAAATCTACATTGCCTATCAAGTTTGATACAATTAAGGGGATGGGACATGGAATATTTTCATAGCTCCAAAAATGATACTGAGTACAAATTTTCATTTAAAAAATTAACTCTCATTGATAATGATGTAAAGCACTTATTAAGATCTTAGTAATAAGAAAAAATAAAGCAGAGGTTCTATTTTATACCTTCTGTAAAGTTCAGCCAATGACTAAATGGTATTGAGATTTTTTGACATTGACTTTTAAGAAACAGAAATGTAATTCCTTGACTAAGATGCTACACATATTTATCACCAGCATTTTGAAAATGCAATAAAATCATTCACAGGAAACAACTTATTGTATAAAAGTTAACAGATGATGCATTTTAACACCAGGTATAAGCATTATTATATTTAAATTCTGCAGCCAACAAATGAAATAATGTTAAATTTTACTTTATGAAACATTTTGAGGGTGATATAGCATGTGGCATCTTATTTGTTAAAGTTTACAATCTTTTGTTGCTTGGTAGCTTGAGGAAATTTGGTGCCCCCTGCTGTTGAAAAAAAACCCCACATTTCTGTTGCTATATACTTACTTGAGAATTCCTTTATACAAAAAAAAAATAGTAAACAAAGACAAAAGAAGATGTACTGTAACTCAGACATAGGATTAACTTATAGCATGCTAGTATGCTACATAATAAATGGTAGCATTAGTGAAATATTTAAAAAATATAGCTCTTATATTCAGGAAATAATAAATAATTACCATTGTGTGCTAACATGCTAAAAGTGCTTTTTATAATGGGAATTTCAGTGTGGACTATTAACATGAAAATTGATAGGCATGCTGATAGGCATGCTGATGTACATGTCTTTATATTTTAAAAACATATAACTTCTTAATGTTCAAGGTGAATTATACCAATGGTTTAACAAAAAGGATAAAAAAAGGGTGAATGGAAGAAGTTGAATGTTCCAGGACACTACACAGGAGCTAATTTCAACACAATAAAAACTAGGGATCCAATAGAAACATCATTCTGCAGATGTTGTGCTACTTTAATTCTTATAGTATTTTGTCATAAACAAATGAATCATCTTTTTATTAATTCCTTTCCATTTGTACCAGAAACAAATTTAAACCCTGCATTTGAAACAAACATACCTTTTTCTATGCAGATATTCAGCAAACAATCATGATTTTCATTCATTCTTTTGTCTCCAATATTTTTTTCTTTAGTCTCATACAAACACCATACATTACTTTACCAACCTTTCCCTCAGATTGCATACATTCAGAACTTGTATAATTTTTCTCAAACCATATTTTATTTATTTAAACCATTTATAAACCATCTTAAAACAAACTCTGGGCAGCTTGTAATCAAGAATAATGCAACACTTTCTTTCATACTTGCACTCTGATGTTTATTTATTTATTTATTTATTTTATTTATTGATGCTTATAGGCCGCCCTTTTCCCTGAGGGGACTCAGGGCGGCTTACATAAAATAAAGGGGGGGGGGTATACAGACAATAAACACAACAATACATAGAAGTAAAATAGTAAACAACATTCATTCATCATTCGGGTGGGGGCAGTTATCTTTGTCCCCAGGCCTGAGGATGTTGAACATTAGTATATAAACTACGGTGTTTGTATCATGATGTTTTTATGCTTTTACACTTTTTATGTTTGTCACTTGCCACCTCTTGTGTTTCTAAGAGTCCAATCCAAATAGCTGATCAGTGAGTGCTCATCTAAAAATCAGAAAGTTAATAACTGTTTTGTTGTCACAAATATATCACTTTAGACTTCGGTATTGTTTTCTAATATTGTCTTTTCAACATCTATTTTATTCTCCCTGGCCTTTTAATTTTATTTGTAGTGAACATGCTAATATTTTGCTAGACTGGAATTTGTTTGATTTTATTTCTGCTTTTGTTGCCATTGTATTGAGTTCAATTCCTAATGACTGTATGGACAAATGCTTACTGTGCTCCAAGGACATTCCTGTAATTGATTCTATTCATCCATTTTACTCATTGTTGCCATTGTCTTCTGATTTTACAGTTGCTGTTGTATATTTTAACCCACTTTTACATTTTAGTCACAATTTCAAAATATTTAAAAAAATACTAGGAAAACGTCTGAAAGCCTTTACATTACAGAACAGATAACCAAATATAAATATGATATTGGATGTATATTTCATGGTGATTGTAGAATAGTTCTATGCAAAACAAAATGCAGGAAATATGAAATAAAAATAGTTATTAAGTATGATAGGTTATTTTTATCTTTAGAACTTCCAAGGAAACTTTCAGAAAGAATTTTACAATACACCAAAGCTCCACCTAGTACTCATAGAAAAATTCTTCATCTAATACAATCTATAAATTGTTGTAATACATACCTGGTCTTGCCACCTATGTTTTCTCCCCAAATTGTTCAACTGGTTTCTTTTTTTCTTGTACAACTCTTGATCAATAGTTGTGAAGGGCTGAAGAAGATAAAAAGGTATGATATGCAGCTGGAGAGTATTTTTCTTTTGCAATATTGTCTGATGAAGGTAAGAACAGCTGTTGATCAGTAACAGCACTCTCAAGATAACTTTTTGAAGCTTTCCAAACAGGATTAAACCCAGTTTCTTCTTGTGCTAATATCCTGTAAGAAGTAACTAAAAAATTCTTTGAAAGCTCAGAAGTATCTGATTCAAGTTGGAACTGAAAATAATTATGTACTTTGTTGGATTTCAGTGGTAAGCAATCTTTTGAATTAAAATGCTGTGTCTCATGTTGCCTAGAAAAAACAGGTCTCTCAATTGTGGATATTCCATATAAAGTAGGAAGCAAGACAAGCCTCTTTCTCAAACTCTGTGGTATTCTATGAAAAGCTTTTACAGTGTATCCGTCATTCTGAGCCAGTGAAGCTGAAATACTTGCTTTTAGATTAGACACTTTGAAGCATAGTTTTTTATTATTCATCTCAAAGTTAGCTGATCTCAACTCTAGGCAAAGTGCCTCCATTAATCTTCCAGTACTGTCATTACTTTTAGCCAGATATGGAACTCTTTGATTTCCAGCTCTCAGAATTCCACTTGTAGCACTCTTGTGTATTTCTTTACTAGAATCACAATTGCATTTACAAAGTGACAAGTACTTTAGTTCTGATTTTGGTAACCTAGTAGCTATTTGGCAGCCAGTTTGTCTTTTACAAAGATGTATATCTGTGAACTGTCCACATAAACATACTGTATTACTGATAAAATTATATTCTCCAAGGCAAGCCTCACAGAATGGGAAGTTCAATTTTCCAGTTGTCCAGTTGCCTATGGGAGAAAATAAGCCATTAATTCTTTATAATTCATGAGATAAGAAATGGTTATGAAGTCAATTCCCCCCCCCCAAATAGGAAGTGATATACTTATCATTTTATAACTGAAAAAGAACACATAATCAAATAACAAAAGACAAAACCTAACACTTTTGAAAAAGTTCCTTGAGATAAATACATCTTGGAAATGTTCACGTTAACGATCCATTGTAAACATTTTAAAATATTATCTGATACTACTAAACACACTCATTGTATTTATTTATTATATTTATACTAACTACTGGGTATTTTTAATATTATACATTATAATACGATGTGCAGTTAATATTACCTGATAGATAAGCTATACCAAAACTGAATAGCTTATGAATTTTTATTGTTTTGATGTGTGTGGCTACTGTGGCTACTGATAAAAATAGGATTGCCAACATGATTGCTAATGTCCGATGACTGATATGGCTCAAGAAGAAAAATGTTAAGAATGCCTATTTTTTACTAATGGCTTTAAATTATATTAACTGATTAAACTGATTAGAGTGGAGGTTCTAGAAAGAGTGCAGAGAAGAGCAACAAAGATGATTAGGGGACTGGCGGCTAAAACATATGAGGAACAGTTGCAGGAACTGGGTATGTCTAGTTTAATGAAGAGAAGGACTAGGGGAGACATGATAGCAGTATTCCAATTTCTCAGGGGTTGCCACAAAGAAGAGGGAGTCAAACTATTCTCCAAAGTACCTGAGGGCAGAACAAGGAGCAATGGGTGGAAACTAATCAAGGAGAGAAACAACTTAGAACTGAAGAGAAATTTCCTGACAGTTAGAACAATTAATCAGTGAAACAGCTTGCCTCCAGAAGTTGTGAATGCCCCAACACTGAAAGTCTTTAAGAAGATGTTGGATAACCATTTGTCTGAAATGGTGTAGAGTTTCCTGCCTAGGCATGGGGTTGGACTAGAAGACCTCCAAGGTTGCTTCCAACTCTGTTATTGTATTGTAAACTAAGCTTTTATTTTTGTTCTGAGTTTTGCATTTGATTTTTTGCATTCTACCTAGAGTCCATTAGGATTGTGTGGCTTATAACCATTGCTAAATAAATACATAAGTAACAAGATAAAGACTAGGTTTTCCCATTTTGAAATAGCTTTTCCCTATGTGTTCTGAAATATAATGTATAGTCTCTTCTTTGTTAATTATAACTTTGAATTCCACACACTCTAGCATTCTTGTGACATTAACAGACATACATGGAAGTTTACATGATGTAAATGAGAACATGTGGCAATGGATTATGATCAAATACAATACCATGATCTGTAGAAAATATATTATCTTAGGCAGAGAACATAAATTAGGCTTTCAATCAATAATTTAAAAGTCTTTTAAATTATCTAACCCTAACTAGACTTATGAGAAGAACTAATGTTCTACTGGTAATACTATATGGGACCATATAAGGAACATAAGATATGCAAGTTTAGACTTAACTGAAGCATAAAAATAAGATTTTAAGATCTGATTTTACAATAAATGGCTGGCTGTAAGTCACATTTAATATTTGGAAGGGGTCCAGGGATCATGGTGGCCATAGTCACAGTAAAATCTATATGATCTGAATCTTAAATTTTGTTTTCTTGGATTTAGAGGCAAAGTTTTAAGGCATAGACATCAAACCTTTGCCTCTAAATCCGGGATATTAAGTTTCATGTTTTTCTGAATTTCTCTTACAAATGACAGCAAATTACATCACCAAATTTTTAATATGAAGGGAGCACAAATAAGGATGACCACCTGCAGCCTAACTTCTCCAATTTCTATAACTCTACTCTATACAGTAGCTAAACACAAATTTCATATATTTGGTTACTGTTAAAAGGCACAGCACCTTAAGTCTCACCAAGTTGCCTTATTATTGTTGTAGTGTTCTTTGGAGGGATGACCAAAGGACATTGTGAATATATGCTAAAAGGATTTAACCCCACCAAGGTCAACCAAAGTATGATGATCATCCCAGCAGACATCATGGACTATCCAAGGAGTTGATAGATGAATGGAGGGCCAATAAATATCTGGGAGTCAACTGATGTAACTGATAGAAGGTTGATTAATATAGCTTTGTTGGGATCTCTGGAGTGCTCCATGCCAGTCTCTAGCCCTGAGAGAGAGGTGGCTAGCAGCAAGTGTTACTCGGAGTTGGATGATCAACCATTACCAAAAGCAGCATTGAGTTGTCTATTATCAACTATGTGTTGTTATTGGCTTCAATTATTACTATTATTATGATTAGTCACACAATCAATCAGATATTTAGACTATATTTGTCACAGACTATTGAGTCCTTCCCAAGGACCTGGGATAGGCAAATGTTGTTGTTTGAGAGTGTTAAAGGTATTATCGCAGAATGTAAGTTGTTCCAACTAAAGCTTGGAAAAATTGAATGAAGGTGATTTTGTCAATGCTGATGGTGTTCAGGTGGTGTTCTAGATGTTTTGAGATTGTACCCAAAGCACCTATTACAATTGGTAACTATCTTTGCTTTCTTTTGCCATAATTATTCTATTTCTATTTGCAAATGTTTGCATTTTGTGATTTTTCTCCAGTTTTCTTTTCTATTTTGCGATCCTCAAATACTACAACACCTACTATCCAGACTTTTTTGTCTTTCTGATTGACAATTACTAAATTTGATGTGTTAGGTGGCAAGAGCTTGTCTGATTGTATCCCTTAGCTTCTTCATTTTTTATTACTTTATTTTCTGGTCCCACCAATTTGTGCTTTCCAAGCAAATGGTATTTCTTGCAGATCTTCCAATTCATCATTGTTGTTACTTTGTCATGCCTTTGTCATGCCTTATAATCAGACTGTCCTATTTCAGGCCATGGGCACAAGCACACCAGAAGGGATTAACTGTTTTATTGTCAAACTAAATTTCAGCATTTCCCAGGCCCCCAATGTACATGAAACATCCTTACAGCAACACCTTCCTGTTCAAAAGTTCTTTCAAGGGCCTTGGCTAACAATAGCAGATATATGTGTTATCCTTAAATGGACTTTTGCAATTAGGACCAAATGACAAGGCCTAAAAAAAGTATTGATAATAGATGTGATGGGGAAGAAGTGTTATTTTATTGTATTATCCGAGAAGGTAATAAGTTAATGAAATTGTCTGTACTTTAGGGGTGTTAACATAGTTTTAATAAGAACAAGAATGTATTTATATACGGTGGTTCTTTTTTTTTTATCATTATTATTATTATTTTTTCCTTGGTTCATTTTACTTTTATCAGATCAAACAACACTCGAATAAAGGCATACACCAAGGAGGGAGGTAGAGGGAAAGAAGAGGGAGGAGTAAGGAAGGAGTAAGGGGAAGGTAAGGAGGGTGTCCGGGGAGTAAGGGGAGAAGGAAGGATTGAGGGGAAAGGGAAGTAGGAGGGGAGTGTTAGAGGGAGAAAGGAAAGTTGGAGGGGGTAGATGGGGTGTATGGAGGATGCAAGGGTGGGGTTGTGAATGATGAGTTGTGTTTTCTCTTTACTTGTTCGTTTTATTCCCTTTTTCTTTGTTTTTCTTTTGTTTTTCTTTTTTTCTTTTTATAGTAAATACCCTGTATATAAATGATTGCAAATGGAATGTGAAAATTGAATAAAATATTTTATGAAAAAAAAAAAAAAAAAGAAATTGTCTGTACTTTTTTTGATAAGGGGAAAGTCATTTCTTTATACATGTTTTGGTTTTTTCCCCATGCACTTTTTTGTTTTATTGTTATATTTTTTGGTTTGTATTCTAAGCTTTAATATAATTATTATTTAATAAGATATGAAACAGTTTTACAACATCTGTAATGAACCTGGAACTAGAAACAGGCATGGAAAAAGGAAAGCCTTTGAAACTATCTCTGAATTCAGAAGAATTCAGTCTTAAATTGGTATATTAAAAGATGTCAATGGACAGATACTCAAAGACAAATGAATATAAAAGAAGAAGACCCGCAGCAAGTTGGATAGACACAATTAAAATGGCAATAAATAAATCATTCAAAGACCTGAAGTATGAAGCTGGGGACAGAAAAAACCTATTAGTGCGGTCACTAAGAGCTGAACCAAATGATAGTATATAATAATAATAATAATCAATCATCAAAGCACAGTGGGAATTAGTCATTTCAATCTGTATGGAAATACTATGCTATAATGGACTTTATATTTTTATTCATATTGAAAGTGGGGCTCTTACCTTTTCTATTATGCAATTCACCCAATCTGGAAAAGCTTGTATGTTCATGTGCCATAAGTTAGACTTATCCAGGGAGGTAATGGATAATCAAGGTTGCTGTAAAATAAAATTCAATATATTATTAGCATTGTGTATATTTTCAATTTATAAAGTTTTAAAAATATTTTTACTTCTAAAATCCTATTATATGTGTTAATTGTATTTTTCTTTCCCCTTTTCACTCTTTGTCCATCCTCAATATTTCTATGCACAAGCTGGTTTATCTTTAATAAAGCTCTACTTTTATCCTTCTTCCATACCCTTTCAACAAGCTTAAACAAATTGCTGAGATTAAGTATGTCTTGTCTTTGCAACATCATCCTAATACTCCAAACTGATTTATTTCTTGCCATTCAGGTCCGGAAGGAACTGTAAGTTTTCCATATGTTCCCTGTCAAGTTTTTGACCAAGCCCAAGGCTGATTAGTTTCAGCAAGTACTGACCAAGCCCAAGGTTTCACATTCAGTTCTTCATATCACAATACAAAACATACTGTTTTACCATTCGATCCCAAATTATAAGCATGTTTTTTATGTTTTGATATAACCTGTCCTGAAGGGATTACTCTAAAAATTAATTATGATTATCCCAAAGATGCTTTTTTAGGAGGCAACTGGATTTTCTTGTTTTTTCTTTGAGGATGTTTCGCTTCTCATCCAAAGAAAGAAAAAACAAGAAAGTCCAGTTGCCTCCTGAAAAAGCACCCTTGGGGCAACCATGACCTGGATAACTGAGAATCTCTACAGATTTTTAGCTATACAATTTGGGATGAACACCTTTGAATTGTGAGAGTAGGAATGAATTTCTATAGAAAAATTGTAGACTACAGGAACCAGGAGCGCTACTCAGGTGATCCTGAGGACACAGATAAACCTCCAAGTGCTTCAGTGACCCTCTAAAAGGATGCAAATGACCAGCTGTCTGCAAGGAATATAAATCCTTCCATTCCCCACTATACTGTCAGAGCTGACGAAGCTTCTTGGGTGAGAAGCGAAACATCTTCAAAGAAAAAACAAGAAAATCCAGTTGCCTCCTGAAAAAGCACCTTTGGGACAACCATGACTTGGATGACTGAGAATCTCTACAATAAATTAATTTTCCAGACAGAAAACATACCTGATAGTTTTAACTAAATATTACTGAATCTGCAACATCTCCCTAATGAACTCAAAATATAAACTATATAATATCCATTGAAGGTATACTATAACAATTATACTACAATATGTCTTATAGCATAAGACTTATGCTGTAAGATTTATTGTGAGCTTTGACATTCCAATTTACCGCCAACTAATGGAATATTATTCTTTATTCACATAAATGAATTTTATGAAATAATTTGAAAACAAGATAATAATATATGTTTTAAAGAGTATAGTACAGAAAGTAAAAGATAAAATAAAAGCATAAAATTGTTAAAATGTGGAAAATGCTTCATGTTAACAGGGCTTTTTATATAGGATGATTGTTAGGCTTTCAATTTGTTATCGCAGACCAAAATACAGCTTAGCCAAATGCTGTAATTTCTATAGCTTCCCCTATATTAGTATAAGAACATTAAAGTTCATCCTGTTACCGTATTTTTCAGAGTATAAGACGCACCAGAGTATAAGATGCATAAAGGTTTTGAAGAGGCATTTTTTTTAAAAAAAGGTAGGTAGGTAGATAGAGGGATAGAGAGGGAGAGAAAGAGAGAGAAATACAGTAGGTAGGTAGGAAGAGAGAGAGTGTAGTTAGGTAGGTAGATAAAGGGATAGAGAGAGAGAGAAAGAGTGTGTGTGTGTGTGTGTAGGTAGGTAGGTAGAGGATAGAGAGAAAGAAATAAAAAGAGAGAGAAATACAGTAACTAGGCAGGGAGAGAGAGAAAGAGTAGTTAGGTAGGTAGGTAGGTGTTGTGGCCCAGCAGGATCTGTTTGAGTTGCTGATGGACTCGGATAGCAAGGAACCCTATGAGTCTGCTATGGAAGATGTGGAGGACCCTGGGCAGGGTTCAGACTCAGAGCAGGGACCAAAGAGGCTGGTTGCCCACAAGGAGGCGCCTGAGGCATGGAGCAGTGGGGACGACTCAAAGCAGTTTGTTCCTGACACGAGGCAAAGAAGGGCGGAGAAACGGAAGCAGCAGCTGTGGAGGCAGACTCATCTGAGATAATGAAGCCCAGGTGATTGTGGCTTGGCCTCTCTCAAGAGAGTATATAAGTGAGAAATTGGGAGGGGTCCTTTTGCAGGACACAACCGTTCATAACAGTCTTGAGGAACTCTTGTCTGGTCTGTTTTGTATTTCCATTCTGTTTGGTTTGCTGGCAACCCTTCTTGCATGAGAATGTTGTCTGGGCTTTCAGCCAACGGAGTTTTAATTCCTATGATTAAAGAGTGGCAAATAGTCATGCCTGTGTCTGCATTACTCACAGGCCGGAGGGGGGGGTGTCCGAACAGGTAGGTAGATAAAGGGATAGAGAGAGAGAAATAGAGAGAAATACAATAGGTAGGTAGGGAGAGAGAGAGAGTAGGTAGGTAGGTAGGTAGGTAGGTAGAGGAATAGAAATAGAGATAGAGAGAAATACAGTGGATAGATAGGTGTTTCTGCTGGCACAGCACTTAATGTAATCCTCATCAATCAGTTAAAAATGAGCAAAAAACGGCCTGTTTTTTGCAAAAATGGGGCCCGTTTTTTGCTCATTTCTGCTCTCCCCAGCCCCCAAGATCTCTCTGAAAGCCTCCATGCATGGCCATTTTGGTGAAGAGGCGGGGCTTCAGGAGACAAAAAATTGCTGTATTCAGTATATAAGACACAACCAGATTTTCAGCCTCTTTTTGAGGAAAAAGGGTGCGTCTTATATTCTAAAAATACGGTATTTTAATCTCATTTAATTGGTTTGTAGATCATGTCAGTTTCTATACTGCAAGAGTATTGTAATAATGAGAAATATGTATAATTAGCATATATTTATGGAACTATCATTTTATTTTTATGAAATGAAATGATAGCTTTGTTGGCAATCTTAAAAATCACCATTTTAACAGTACTTTTATCATTTGACATACCAATGGGAAAATGTATTCAGATTTTAGAGTAATAAAATTATTCTAAATTACATACCATTATTTTTAATTAAGAGACAGTGAAATACGTTCTTTTAGAGAAAGTAAGTTTATTATATTTAACAAAATAATCACATTAAAAACATTAAAGATCTATTTTCTGCCTCCAAAAATGTTACATAAAATGAAGAAATAAAATATTTAGTTTACTCAAATTGTGATCTGATTGTGGAGGAATAGGTGTTTAGCATTTATGCAAGCCATTTCTCCATTAACAATTCTGATACTCAGAGTTTTACAGTCAGAATTATAAATGGAAATTGAGGAAAGAGGATTTGGTCTCTTACAGCAAGGAGGCAGAACAATTAAGCTGTACTGTGTGACTCCTTTAGTTTCAAAGTAAATTCATTGTGAAAAAAAGGTGACGTAAGTTGACAACTCCCCAGTATGAATAACCACTAGAATATATGGAAATTAAATCATCAGCTACTGTTTCTAACATACAAATGTTACAATGTAAAGAAACTAAGAAATAAATAGTGATAAGAAAGCTTCTAAAATAATTTCTTTGGTTGATACAAAACTTTTTATAAGATTTTGAAATATGTTGACTTCTTTTGGGTTTCCCTAAAGATTTATATTTTGTACTGAGATGACATTCTTTAAATCATGAATGATCAATGTGTGTTCTTTGTTACATCAAGGTTGACACTGATGTCAAGAATGTCCTTTTTATTCCCTTTTAGTTAATTCAGAACGTCTTCCATGGATATTTGGAGTGCATTTGAAGAACTTATTAAAGATCAGGAAACCCAAGAGGATCTAGCCAAGAACATTTTATTGACCAATCATGCATCCCTTTATAAACCGGTGTGATACTTACTGTATATAGCTGTTTCTAAATTTCAGAGAGCATGAAATCTAGCACGTTTTAACACTCTCTCCATAGCAGTTCTGGAGGGCCAATGTAAAAAAGTCCCATAGAAGCTGCTATGTGATCTTTATGGACATGAGGCCATTGAAGTCACAGCTCATGTCCTGTTATATTATGCCCCCTATAAAGACTCATGGATTCATTTTATAACTCCTTACTTGACAAAATATTTGGGAAATACTGATGTCTTTTATGTAGAGCTATTACTATCTGATCAGTATGATACAGGTAGTCCTCAACTTACAACAGTTCATTTAGTGACCATTCAAAGTTACAACAGCACTGAAAAAGTGACTTATGACCATTTTATATGCTTACGACTGTTGCAGCATTCTTAAGGTCACATGATCAAAATTTGGATGCTTGGCAACTGGTTCATACTTATGAAGGTTGCAGTGTCCTGAAGTCATCTAATCAGCTTTTGCGACCTTATGACAAGCAAAGTCAATAAGGAAGCAGATTCATTTAACCACCATGCTACTAACTTAACAATTGCAATGGTTCAGTTAACAACAGTGGCAAGATAGGTTGTAAAATAAGGAAAAACTTACTTAATAATTTTTTTCCTGGTCTATAGCCGTAATATAAGATTGACTGGAAATGATTAATACATAAATTAGATACCCTGCCTAGTACTCCATAAACTGGATGTGATAGAATAGAATATACAGAACATTGTCTCCCATCCTATCATACAGTCTTCCATTCCTCAGCAAATAATTTTCGTGCAGGTAGTCCTCTATTTACAACTTGTCATTAAGGACCATTTAAAGTTACAACAGACTTTTAAAAAGCTACTTACGACCTGTCTCTGAAGTTATGACTGCTGCCCCACCCCTGCAGTCATGTGATCACATTTCAGGCACTTGTTGCCAAGTGCTCCACAATCATGTAATTACCATTTGCAATTTTGTCTGCTGGCTTCCCCAGAAAGTCAAGGGAGAAACTAGCAGAAAAAATTTGCAAGCTGTTGCTGCCCTCTGTGCATTTGGAGCGTGGGACTCCTATGGGAAAAGGAGAAAGTAAGCTTGGACCATGAAGACGCAAGCTGCTTTTCTCCAGCCCAACACTAGATTTTTCT